CCCCAGCATTTACAGGAGCTCACTAGACCCATCACGTAGGCACGAAACGAGGGCTGCATGACAGGGTTGCTTGCAGGAATGAAGAACACATCTTGATGATGCTTTTTTTCCCCTACTCCTGCCTGCACTTTCAAACTTCTGCCAGTCTCTCCTTGGTGCAAATGTCTGACTTTGGTGGCATTTCATCTGGGTGACTCAATCATCGCTCCGTAAACACGTTTTGTGCCACCGGTTTGAGGCTTCACAAGGTTGTTTGCTTTTAAAAGGACCCCAGGGGAGCTCCAAGAACAAAGGGCAGGCACAGAAGAACAGTTGGCTTGAACAATGGAGTTTAGATAAAGCAGCCTGGCAACATGCTGGGCCTTTCCCATTGTGTCTGGTGTGTGATGGATTCTCGAGGCCTCCCTGATTACCCTAGAAGCAATAAAACCACCATGCTATGAACAAGCAGTAGCAGATGAAGACAGGATTGGTGGGTTGAGGTTAGATCTTAGGACAGTCCATCTTGCTAGGTGGGTGGTTCCCAAGCTGAGCTAACCTCCCACCTAGCTGGCTCATACTTCCCTTCCTTGTGATTTCAGTAGATGTAGGCCACATTTACCCTTAAGTTCATCCTTGAGAACAGGATGGGTTTGACCTGCTTGAAAAAAGGTTGTGTTTGGCATTGGTGTTGTTTTTGAGGAGACTGAAGTGAAGGAATTTTTTCCTTTTCTAGCAGAATATTCCTGCCAGTGTCTGAAGAGAAAAATGACCGTGCTATTGGCTGGCTATGAGGAAGGGAAGGGGTCCATAACCAAAGCACTACTATGGTTTTTGGAGAGAAATTGCCCCAAGAGCTGCCTACTAGTGCCAGAGGCACATCAGGGTTTCCCATGTGTGCCATGTTCTATCCAAAGATTGAGGAGCTCCTCATCCTCACTCCTGTTTTGCAGGGAACCTAAGAGAGCTGCAAGAAGAATGGCCAATCTGGGCCAGACCAAACATCCTTTTAGCCCTCCTCCCTGTCTCCTACATGCCCAGAAAATGATGTTTTGGGGCGAGTGCAAGAAGAGAACAAATATAGAATAAATACATATATATATGGTCAGGGTCCTGGAGTGGGAACTAGAGACCTCTCAGCTCATCTTCTCAGAGGCAGAGAGACTTTCTCAAGATCCAGGGTACAACTGGGATGAAGGATGCCTCCTGGGGAAGCAGTGGGAGAAGAAGATCTTCCTCCATCTATGCTGCACTAGTGAAAGGTTTTCTTAAAAGTAGAATACAAGACAATACATAGAGACTGTGGTGAGGTGGTGGCTGCCAGCACTGCCTGAAGGCACAAAGAAAAGTGTCTTATCTTTTCATGATGTGCTGCTGAGACATCTTTCCACAAAATTTCTTCATAGAATCACAAGATGGTTAAAGATCATCCAGTTCCAACCCCCTGCACAGGCAGGGACACTTCCCAGCAGCCCAGGCTGCTCCAAGCCCCATCCAACCTGCCCTTCAACACCCCCAGGGATGGGGCAGCCACAGCTTCTCTGGGCAACCTGGGCCAGGCTCTCCCCACCCTCACAGCATAGAATTTCTCCCTCCCATCTCAGCTCCAGCTCCCTCTGCCAGCTGGAAACCCTTCCCCCTGCTCCCATCCCTCCCTGCCCTTGTCCCAAGCCCCTCCCCAGCTTTCCTGGAGCCCCTTCAGGCACTGGAAGCTGCTCTCAGGTCTCCCTGGAGCCTTCTCTTCTTCAGGCTGAACACCTCAACTCTCCCAGCCTGGCTCCAGAGAAGAGCTGCTCCAGCCCTTGTAGCACCTTTGTTGCCTCCTCTGGCTGCAACAGGTCTATGTCCTTCCTGTTTTGGGGCCCTTCATATGTTCCTCCCACCCTTTGCTAAGTAGTTGTCTTCTACACACTGTGTCCGAGACATGGCTGCTCACAGCAAGGTGAATGCTACCTGCAAAATGTTGGGGGAAACACACTACAGTAGCTACCTCTGTCCTACCTGCTCTCCTGGCTAAAGGGACAACATGAGACCTCAGGGCTGTCAATTCAGCTACTACTCAGTTACTCCTGGGCAGTTAGAAACTGTTAATTCTCCTGGCTCTGATGCCTTCAGCACCCTCTGCTCATTTCAGAGAGGGGTTCCCGTGCTGCTCTGTGTGACATAATCCTGCTGCTGTGGTTCAGAAAAAGGCAGCAAGAGACACAAAGGTTCTCTGGGACCCTCTATTTGCTGCTTAGGTCAATCTTATGAGTATCTCACAGTGGTTAAAATGAGAAAATTACACAGCTAAACAAACATACATGGACATATATCTGTGTGTGTGTGTGTGTGCAGGGATGGGGGTGTTTATTTAGGTGCGTTTCTCTGTGTATGTGGCTATCTCTAGATACAAGCCTATTTCTAGAGACAGCCATGCAGACATATATATAGAGATAGTCCCAGACAGACATTTTTTCCCTAATGCTTTCTAATGCATGGTTTCTTAAAAGCTCCTTTGGTTTCATCTGCTGGGATGCTGTCCCACTCGGAGTCAGCCCACGATCTCCTTTCACAACGTTGGTTAAACGCAGCTGTTGCTGGTGACGCAAAGATGTTGGTCCCCAGGGGGGGAAATAATAATAGAAAACAATCTCCCTCTAAAGACAGTGAGTCTATCTTGCCAAATTCCCTGATTCTGACATCTCCTGACACATTTACTTCAAGGAACAAAAAAATAAATCCAAATCAAAGGGCGGTTTATTAATACCAGTGCCTGAAAGTCAGTCTTGGCTGTGAAAAAGAAGAGGCTTTCCTTGCTCTCTGAACATCCTCACCCAACTGAGAGAAAAAAAAGGTCATTCCTTCCTTTTATTTCTACAGGGCTTCTCATTCCAAAAGGCCCAAGAGACCTGCAGTGGAAGCTGAAGCACAGCTTCACTTGTCACTACAAGACAGCCAACCCTGTGGTTAAATAAGGCAAGTACATGACAAACTGCACCATCTCTGCGAGGTGAGGGCAGGGCTGGACATTGGAAAGCAACTCCTTGCAAAAACAAGGTCAATAGCAACAATGTGATAGATGCTGTTAAAAAGCATTTGTGAATCAAGACACAACTCCAAAGCTGGGGGAAACTGCCATTTTTTCTTATGATCTTTGCATTGGGCAGACATCACTTAGGCAATGCCATGTTGTCCATTTAATCTGAACAATGGTGATGGGCTCATCTGTCTTATTATTAAATAGCATTAAATTCACCTCTGTGTAGACAGAGGACTCATGGCAAAAGATGACTGACCCTTGAGTACAGAGTGATGAGGATGATAATATTGGGATGGTTTATTAGAACCATTATTAGAATAAAGGGAGAGGTCATGAGGAGCAGTAATTTTCCAAGTAAGAGCAGAGGTTGAGAAGAAAAATGAAGTCTTTTGCATCATGACATCTCATCTATTGTGTTTCCAACTGGAAGCACAGTCTGAGTCCCCTGTCTGTGCAGTGACCACCTCTACACCCAGAGGACACAGACAAAGGCAGGTACATGAAACCCAAGACAACAGACTTGGCTTTCAGCCTTTTTTACAAGCTTGCAGGTTGAAGGTTTCTATTTCTTCTTTCTGTTGGTAACAAATGGACACATCTCTTCTTCTTTGTACTCTTCCCCTACTGATACACCTTGACCAAGTCCTAGTTGTCAGCATGGGAGGTTTAAAAGAAAGAACCTCCTTTCCCTAGGGAAAATCTAGGAGACTCCTCAAATGGAGAAATATTCAGCAGATGACTCCCACCTTGGGACATGGCTGAGAGAGGTGGGAGATGAGAGACCATGGCTTCAGGGAGGTCAACAAGTTGTGCAACGTATTAAAGCCCTCAATGTGAGCAAGATGCTCAATGACTCCAACACCTACTCCAGAAACTTCCCAGAAGGTTCTAGGGTTAAAATGGTTCTTTCCATTCCATGGGAAACATGAGTCCCACCAAACTTGTTCTAAAGGTTAACACCATCCAGCACAGGTACAACATGCTCTGCTATGAAGCAGCTGGAGCAGCACCTGGTGTATTCAACCTTGTCTGTTCCTTGACACACAGATGCTGAAATAACATCTTTCCTCACTAAACAGCTTCATTCTTGTGTTGCTTCACCATTGAGGACAAAAACCACAACAAACCCCCCTATGCTATGGTTGGATTTAAAATCAAGAACGTTCTCCTAAAGAAGGGACAATATATCATCTTCAAGCCTGCTCTCCAGTGGCTCAGACCCTGACAAAGAGAGATGAAATTTCTGCCAGCTACTGTTTTGCCACCTGAATCTATGTAAAAATAAGGCAAATTATGTAGAGATAGACACCATTTTCTCCCTTCTTTTTTTCCCCCTAGGATCATACCAAACCCTCTCCATGAGCTATGAATCCCTTTCTAACTTTGGACTGGTTTCCCTGTTTCAAAATCAACTACACCAGAATTAGTTCAAGATCTGTTCTTATGTGTTCATTTGCTTTGGCAAAGGACTTTGACCCCACTCAGCTCCAATGAACAGACCTTGTTAAACCTCTGGTCCTTAGTTTGAACTTCTCAATCAAGAGGTTCTCTGTTAATCACCTGCAGAAGCAGGGTTGCTTCTGGTTTGATTGACACATCTTTTAGCTCTGTGTTTGTACATCTCCTACCGCAGACAACCTCATAATCACTGGAGCTCTTGGTAACAACCTGGTAGCAAAATTACTGCTTGCTGGAAAAAAAGGAGTCTCAATGGCATGGAACAACATCCAAACACTTCTTAGTGTCCCTGAGTTTCAAGTTTCCCAAGATCTCTTTACAAATGGGATCATGGCAGCGTGAGGAACCCTTGCTGGCTTTGAGGACCATTTCAAAGTCAAATGACTCTCCACCAAAACGAAGATGCGGCTTTGGCAAGCTCAGGCATAGCTTCCAAGAGGATGAACAAACTAGAGCACATCGAGGGTCTTAAACGCTCCTTAGGTCAGCCCTGGGTGAGGCCAACACTTGATGCTTCATGCAGAAATTTGCAATTGCCTACCCTCTCCCTGGTCTCGTTGGTGAGGAACTTGGCGCACTCGCTGTAGTTGGCCCAGGTGCGGTTGTTGCCCGGGACCAGCTCCCAGCTCCCGTTCAGGTCACACCGGCGATAGGCATGGCCTGCAGGAGGGAAAGGACAGACAGGGTAGGCAGGACCAGGGAGAACAGGAGAAACCTCTTCCAAGGGTGGATTTCATCAACCCTGATGCCTCCTGCCTGCTGTGGAGCTCGGCTGCAAGGACACCATTCCCAGCTCCTCAGGAGCTTCACCAGTTTGCTAAGTGAGGAGCACCAGAGACCTCATGTCAGCTGGCACTTAGTCTCAGTTAAGATACAGGGTCTACAAAATAAGAAGAGAAGCTTTGAAAAATCCCAAAGCCCAGAATCATCCTTAGAGTTGCAGCTAAATAGTGATCTACATTGTACTGCTCTTTGTTTGCAGATTGGGTGCATTTTAAGGTACATTTTTTCTACAGCTACCCTCCTCATGATGATGGAGAAAGAAGTCAAGGCTTCCTCTTGGGATTCAGCTACTAGATGAGAACATCCATGTTTGGTTATCTGTGTGGTGGAATCACTGCATGGACTGGGTGTAAAACAGACCAATAATTCTTTTAACAGGGATGAAACCAGTCAACAGATATATCTGCCCTGTGAGCTACAGAGGGAGAACTTAGAGACCTCTCTGCACCTAGGGATCTTCATCTGAGCAGTCAACATGTGTGAGGCGGGGAATCCATTCCATGTTGGGTTGTGGAGAAAAAAGGGATGGACTGTCTCTCTTCATCCTGGCCTCTAATGTGAGGTGCATGTGCAGGTCATAAAGCAGGAGTGGAGCTGGTTTAGCTCACAGTCCCCTATTGAAAAGACAGGATAGAGGAAGGAAAGAGTATGGACAACCCATGGAACTATGGGTTCCATAGTTTCCAACTATGGAAAGGATAGAGTATGTACAACCAGGTCCACTGGAATATCATGACTTCTTTTCTGCAAACAGCATCAGTGCTCTGCTGGGAACAGATAGTCTGAATTCCCTGATTTTTCAGTCTTTGGGTGCACAACCTTGCCTGGGAACAGAGAATGCTTAAGCTTTGAAAATACCCTGAGGAGTGAGTGGACTTTGATTGTTTCTGAAAACATGCACAGAATGTGCAGCAGCAGAAGCCAACCAGGAGATGCACTGCCTGAGGGAAACGAGGCAGGGAGGAACTCGTATCTTCTGGTTACCAGTGCTGTTCTCAGATCCCCACCCCAGGGGTCTGGGCAGAGATCAGGGGCTCCAATTAACAAAGCCCTGAAGGGAAGAATATTGATTGGAAGAATATCCTTCTGCTTCTGCTGCCACCCAAAGTCTGTGGTGTCAAAAAAATACAGGTTTGCAACCCCACAAGGCGACCAAGTTATAGCATGTAATTGGTTTTTATAATGCACTGTTAGAGTCTGTGTGGGGCAGGTAGGAAATGTGTCACTGTTTAGGTCAAAACAGAGCTTTTTTTTTTCCTCTCAGCATAAAAAACCCCAACAAACTGTTCTTTCTTTACTTCCTTTTCCCTGGTTTTACAGCTGTTTGGATGGGAGTCACTGTATAGTTACAAAAACAAGAGGAGTTCCAATTTTTGGACTCTCTAGCCTCCCTTGCTGCAGCTTATCAGGCTCTGCTGACACTGAGGACACCACCTACCTTTGTGATTGAAGTCATAGATGTACTCAGGACATGGCATGGCCACCACTTTGCCTGGCATACCTTCAGGCCAGCAGACAATACCATCCCACTCAGGAAGACAAAAGCCATCTGTGGAAGAGACACAAAGATTAAAAGGAGTCATTGGACCTGAAGAAGTGACACTAACACCTCTGTCCCACCTTTTGGAGTGGGATCTCCATGAAAAAGCCAGAAATGCTTGAGAAAGATGCTTGTAGGGGAAGGACATTTTACAAGGTCTTGTAGTGAGAGGACAAGGGGAAATGGATTAAAACTGGAAGAGGGAAGATTTAGGTTGGACAGTAGAAGAAAATTCTTCATTATGTCAGTGGGGAGAGCCTGGCCCAGGTTGCCCAGGGAAGCTGTGGCTGCCCCATCCCTGGCAGTGTTGAAGGGCAGGTTGGATGGGGCTTGGAGCAACCTGAACTACTAAGAGGTGTCCTTGCCTGTTCTGGCAGGTTGGATCTAGATGATCTTGATGGCCTCTTCCAACCCAAACCATTCTGTGATTCTATGAGCTCCTCCCAAGCTCTGTTTCAGAAGGACGTGGTCAGACACAGCCGAGCACTCTCTGAGAGGAGTTAATTCATCTGAGAAGTTTCTTTCATTTTTTGGGCTGGAAAAATGGAAATGGGGCAGGAGAGCAGAGTGGAGAAGAGGAGAACTTGAGGATTCAAGACTCTGCAGACTGATGGGCAACCTGGAGATGTTCTAGGGAGGTTGGCTGGATATAGCCTTGATACAAGAACACAGATTTAAGACTAGACTACCAAGATGATGTAGTGGTTTCCCTAAAAGGTATTAATGACCACAGAGTAGCCTGGCTATGATTTAATGCCTACAGACCATTAATGCAAACCCAGCTGGAATTTTAACTCCTTGTTTACATCAGCCCATGCTGTGCTAGGTTGCAACACTTGGCTGTTTCTCAGATGAGTTTGTGTGCCTGGATTTAGGTGCACTTTTAAGTCACACTAAGACCATCAAGACTGTACAGAGAGGTGATTATGGCAATATTTCTAACTGTAAATAGAGAATATTTTATTACCTTTCTCCATAAGTAGTGAACTTATGGAATCTCTGTTCCCTAAAGAGTTGCAGCCTTTCCCATCTGACATCCTTTCTGCCTATGACTTCATGACTCCCAGCTTCTCTCTTCCCCATTTCCCTCTGGTGTTATCACAGGGCAAGGTGCATGTCATGCACTGATTGATTTGGAGCTGTGCCCATGCTAATTAGCTGGCAGGGCACACATCCTGATTGACCAGTCACCTGCTGCCAAGCACAGCATCCAAGGGCTGAGGTTTCCCAGCTTTCCCTCCTGATTACTCACTAGTTTGGATTTCTGCCCTTTGCTCAGTCACAGGTTTTCAGAAAATAAGCAGGAAGAGAATGGGAAGGTGGATAAATCATATGAGTCCTATTGCCTTAGGAATGCAAATATCCTGGGAACTGTTTATCTCTCTCTGTTGTACCATTTTGTTTAGGCTCAGAGCTACTTCCAAACCTTCTGAGAAGTGAGTGGTGGGGTGGTTGCTTCAGGATTTTCCTTTAAATCATCCCTGTTCTCCCTGTTTGTTCATTGAAGAAAGCCAAAATAGCCCTGAAGGCCAAATCCTGCCTCCTCCCATCCAAAGCTCTGCCTCTTCCTTCTCTGCACGTTGATTTACCTGCTGATATCTGTGATTTACATGCTTAGCTCAAGGAAAAGCAGGGATATAACCACAAAAAACCATAATCTTTCCCAAATTTTAGGTCTGTCTTTTTCCTCAAACGTTTTATTTTCTTTTTAATTGACAAACATAGAAGTATAAAGGCACTGGGACAGGTTGCCCAGGGTGGTTGTGGCTGCTCCCTCCCTGGAGGTGTTCAAGTCCTGGTTGGATGAGGCTTGTGCAGCCTGGGCTGGTGGGAGGTGTCCCTGCCCATGCAGGGGGGTTTGAACCTGATCATCTTTGAAGTCCCTTCCAACCTTCACCATTCTATGATTCAATATATTTAAAGGAAGTTCTTTAACTGTCAATTTGCAGTTCTCCAGAACTTGAGAAGTAATTAAGCAGGTCTTCTATTGACCTGCAACTGTGAGAAGCTTCACTTCTCTCTTCACAAATGGAGCTACAAGCCAATCATTCAAGGGCTCCAGCATCACGTCCTACATGACCATGTAGGCTGAGCAGGTCATGAAGAAGCTCTGCACCCCACAGGATTAGCCCCCAGCCTCTGAAGCACCTGAGACACAAGGATGACTGTTGTGGGAGGTGGGCCACCCAGCCAGCAATCTCATCTTCCTTACTATCTGTTTATTCAGTCTGCACTGGACAAAGCCAGAATTTCTCTGCATTTAAAAGGACTGAGAAATCCTCCAAGCTTCTTGAAAACTGTGGGAATTGCCCTCATTTTCACCACTGCTTTAAAGAGAGGGAAGTCCAAGCCCATTCCCCACCTCTTACATCTTTCCAGATTGTCAGCCTCCCATTTCTGCATCATTTGAATCAGAAAGTCATGGTCCCACAAGGAAGCACATACCCATTTGGATGTAGAAATTCAACGTGGGCTGCATCTCCAGTCCTTGAGGAGTTCAGGAAGGACTATACATCCAAATCTAACCTGGTGTGCTTGGTGTTGGGCTGCACTGACTGCACCCATGGGTTAAAATCCAGCTGCAGTTGAGTATTTGAAGTTTACATAGAGCTGTTGGAGTGAATCCAGGGGAGGGCCACAAAGATGATCAAAGAACTGGAGCACCTCTCTTATAAAGACAGGCTGAGAGAGTCAGGGGTGTTTAGCCTGGAGAAGAAAAGGTTCCAGGGAGACCTGAGAGCACTTTCCAGTGCCTGAAGGGGCTCCAGGAAAGCTGGGGAGGGGCTTGGGACAAGGGCAGGGAGGGATGGGAGCAGGGGGAAGGGTTTCCAGCTGGCAGAGGGAGCTGGAGCTGAGATGGGAGGGAGAAATTGTGTGCTGTGAGGTTGGGGAGAGCCTGGCCCAGGTTGCCCAGGGAAGCTGTGGCTGCCCCATCCCTGGGGGTGTTGAAGGGCAGGTTGGATGGGGCTTGGAGCAGCCTGGGCTGCTGGGAGGTGTCCCTGCCCATGCAGGGGGGTTGGAACTGGATGATCTTTAAGGTTGCTTCCAACACAAAGCACTCTGTGATTCTGTGAGAAGCAAACACTTAGGAATCTGCCCCAGCCCTGCCTGCAGAGCAGCAGCTGCTCTCTGTACCAGTGGCAGCTTGAGGAGGAGTTTGTCAGCAGCCTGGAGCCTGACACAGACACATTACATGGAAGCCCAAATGAAACCAGCCTGCTCTTATCTGCAGAAGGGCTCCACCAGGAAAGAAATTATAAACACAGCCAAGTTCTCAGCATGTTTCATCAATATCAAAGCTAGTGCCTTAGCAATCTTTCAACCAAACAGTAATTTATCCTTTATAATGGATGTGTTTTCACAAGATAAAATAAGAATCCAGGATTGCTTTAAAGACCTTTGGTTGCTCTGGTGCTCTCCAGGGTTGGAGCAGACAGTGATCAATTCAATTTGCTGGTATTTTGGGACATAAAAAAAACAACAGAAAAGCTCATGGTTTTACAGCTGACTCCTTATCTTTAATTTAGTGCTGATTAAAAGGACCAGACTAATCACTCCCTGCCTTCTAAAGCAGGAACTGGGAGTGGGGTTAAAGGAGCTAAAATTCCAAAGCATCGTTGTGATAAAAAGGAGGAAGAAGTTTATTAAGTTTTCTCTGCTTTCAGTCACATTAGAGGGAGAATAATATTAGAATTCCTATTCACAACAACTGGGAAAGCCTTTCCCTTGGCTCATTTTGTTGCAGGATAACTTACACTGGGAAAACCAGCCTATTTGTTTTTCACTTCTCTGGAACGAATCAAAAAGCAAAAGGAAAAATAAAACCCACAAAATCTGCATTCAGACAAAATGTTATTGTCTCTGAGGGTTTTTTTTTTTTTTTTTTGTAGACAAGAAAGTAAATAGAGGTTTAATTTATCCCTCAAAGTGGTCTTGCTTAAAATAAACTGTTATTTATTATTTTTTTACCAAACAAATAATTTTTGGTGAATTTTAATATTAATGCGGTGGAGAATAAAAACATTGAGGACAAAAAAAATATTCATCTGAATGTCATGCTGTGAAATGCTGAGAAAAATCCCTTCCACTCTTCTAAGATCTTCAGAACCAATTGCAAAGGTCACCCTGCAGCACTTTCATTTAGTGTCTTACTAGAATATATGTCCAGAAAATATAAATCTGGAAAAGTACCTGGTGGGTCTGCCCTCCCAAGGCTGCAAACACACAAGCACACATTTGTAATGGACTCATTCAAAAGAAAAATGGATGTTTTCTGGGTAAGAAACTGTGCAATTATTTCTTTTGGGGTACTTTGATGCCCCAAATCAGCAGAGGCTGGAGGGTCCGTGCAAGGAACACGCTGCAAATCAGGGTTAGGACACTGGGGTTTTACCACATGGACCATCTGGGAAGGCATCAACTGCTCCAGGAATTTGAACATCTTTGCATCTGAGATTTCTCTGTGTATTCTTCTGGGGAATTGATTCAATCAAGCTGGGTGAGATCTGGTGGGACTTGGTCTTCAGAAAGCATCTGAACCTCCCAAGACAAGACGCAAGTGAATCTGTTGTGGGTACCAAGAAGGGTCGCAACACAGAAACCTCTTTCACCTCCTCCCCATTTCTCTGGCATTCCCTGCTTCTCTCCCAGCACTCCATGAGTGGAAAACTCATTTCAGCCAAGTTCAAAAGAGGGGTAAAACATCACAATCAGCATTTCCTTCCTGCAAATTTCATGGAGACTGATGAGTAGGAGAGACAAGGGCAGGTGAACATGTCGTTGAATCATATAGTATTTTAGGTGGGAAGCAACCTGAAAGATCATCCAGTCCCAACCCCTGCCATGGGCAGGGACACCTCCCAGCAGCCCAGGTTGCTCCAAGCCCCATCCAACCTGCCCTTCAACACTGCCAGGGATGGGGCAGCCACAGCTTCCCTGGACAACCTAGGCCAGGGTCTCACCACCCTCACAGCAAAGAATTTCTCCCTCAGATCTCATCTTAATCTCCC